GGGAGGCAGACATCCCTGGGTTCCATCCCCGATCATCTCCAGGTGCCTCGTGGCTGTGGGGTACCTGGAGATTGGGCAGGGAACCCAAGCATTTAAATCTCCCCCCCTCCCTGAGTCTCTCCGCGGGTGGGGGTTGGGGCCAGGGCTCCTTACTGCCGGAGCAGCGCTCCGGGGTGCTCCGGCAGGAAATGACCCCTGCCCTGCCACAAATTTCCTTAGACTTTAAGGTGCTAGTTTGGTGTATTGGTTAAGAGCGCGGACTCTAATTTGGGAGATCCGGGTTTGATTCTCCACTCCTTCGCATGCAGTTGCTGGTGTGACCTCGGGTCAAACAGAGTAGAGGGCCAAAAATTAAAACCTAATATATATAATATATAAAAATACATGTATTTATTTGTAAATAATTTAAAAAGATATAGGGGCCCAATTACACTTCATATAAACATTCCAAAATCATACACACAAGAGCCAATGGCCTTGACCAATGCTCCCTCTAAGCCGTGGAGTCCTGTGAGCAAAAATTCCACTGGCATTAAAGTTGTGAGCGAGCCATTTGTCTACTGCATAAATTAGTTTGCTCTGGAGCCATCCTTCCCAAGCTAAGACAAAAATGTGTGAGCTGGTGGCTAAAAAACTGTGAGCTAGCTAACTCAGCTTAGAGGGAACACTGGACTTGACCTGATACATTTCGGCCTGTTTAGGCCTTCTTCGGAGGTCAAACACAATGAGGAACAAATCGGCTTATACCATAAGAAAATACAACTATACAGCATGGATACAAAATGGACCAGAAAAGAATTGCTGTAAAAAACCCAAAAAAAACCAAATAAACATGTGAAATTAAATACATATAATAAAATCAATAAATAAACAATGCCTATTATTATACTAAAAACATACTGACTTACTTCCAAAGTGAAACCACTAGGCACAGAATAGAAGTATAAACAAGGCTGCCCAAGATCTGGTCCAGAAAGTGCCTTTCAATGAAGTAACAAAATTAATGTTATTTATTTATTGCTTTTGGATTAAGTTTCAGTATTGTAGGTTGCATTGGTTAATAATTGTTTTGCTTCTAGATTAGTACCAGTGAAATATCATTTGGCATGTGCCTGGATCTTGGGAGGCCTTGTTTATACTTGGAAAATGTTGGAAAATATTATTCCCAGGGTCGGATCTTGGTTTCCAAAAGACAAAAAAGAGCAATGGAGAAGGTGGGGGGGGGGCTATTAGGAAAGGTCGGCCCATGACCCACTTATGGGTCTTGACCCACAGGTTGGGAAACACTCATCTAGAGGAGGAGGAGGAGACTGGATTTATAGCCTAGAGAACGATCTCCCGCCCTCCCCCATCAGCATCATTTCTTTCTTTCTTTAAAACAATTACAAGCTGCCTTTCTACCTTGCAGAACTCAAGACAACTTACAATATAAATAAAGCAATGGTTATTAAAAAAAAAAAAAAAAATCCTTTCCCTTCCCCTCCCCACAACTCCCTACCCCTGGGAGGTAGGCAGGGCTGAGAGAGCTCTTTCGAGGACGGTCCTTGAGACAACAGCTCTGAGAGAACTTGTGACTGACCCAAGGTCACGCCAGCAGCTGCAAGCGGAGGAATGGGGAAAATCAAACCCGGTTCTTCCAGATCAGAGTCCGCGCACTTAACCCACCATCCCAAACTTGAGGTCTTCCTGCCCTATGTTTCATTTAGCATTCTATGTGCTTTCAGGATGTATTTCGGTTTGGGCTTAATTGTTCTTATGGAATGTGTTTAGTATTAAGGGACAGCTACCCTAGTGTCCCCCCCTTGGCCAGAAAGGTGGCCGACCGATTTTGTAAACCGAGAATGACAATAATTTCACCTGGAGGGAAGCGGCGGAGGGACCGCCTCACGTCCAACAGCACTTGCTGGTAATCTTTGTTGTCCTCCCGGAGTTCCTTTCCTGGAAGAGAAGGAGATTACAAGCGCACCGGTGAGAAACCCTTAACTACTATCGCTCATTTGCACGGATGATTGCTAGGAGACACGCCTATCTTCCCACGCAGGGTGGGGCACCCAGAGCATTTGTTTGTCCCAGATCAGTAGCTGCTGCTGATGCTCGGAGACAGATCGAGTTGTTTTGGACGTCACTGGAAACGGCACGGCCTGAGTGACGGCTGCTGCACCCCCACAGGAACTCAGATGCGAGTCCGGCTGCACCTTGGGGAACCACGAGATTTCCGGGGCATGAGCTTTTGTGTGTCAACGCTCCCGTCATCAAACACTTGTCGGTCTTAGAGTTGTGACTGGACTCAAATCTAGCTGTTCTACTGCAAGCCAACAGGGCTACCCGCCTGGAACTCCCCCCCCAATTACCCTTATACATAAATGGGTATTGTACAAAGACATTGTAAGCTTCCAGGACTCTCTCCCCTTCCACAGAAACGGAACTAACCAGCAATCCGAGGCACAAAAGCAGCTGACATCGCCTTTGTTTGCAGTTTCTCCCTTTGTGTGCGTCTCTCTCTCTCTCTATGAGGAAATAGTTTAGTTTGTGTATATAGGCCTGCTATGTGGATGGGCATCAACCTTTTCATCTCTCTATGGGTCAGAGCATTGTACAGCCCCTAATAAATAGTTCTAAGAACATCGG